CAGGAATCAGGTAAAGATTCTCACAGGGAGAGGAAACCTAGGGATGATTCGGGGGCTTCAGGAAGGAAAACTGCAGAAATATAAAGTGTGATTATTGTTGTAGAATATTTTTTTGTCTTAGTAGAGTTTTGTAATAGAATGAGGCCTGCCAGAGGAAGTACTCTTATGCTGCAGTTTATTCAGGGGAAGAGAAAACTGAGATAAACACAGAGGTCATACCCTGTGTCTCTCTGATTTTTACAAGGGAGCCAGTTTCTGGAATGAAGAGACTCAGCATTTTTATAACCATTTGGTTGCCCCTGCAAACGAGGAATTTATGGGTGGTAGCAGCTGGGGAGGGAAGGTCTGCAAGTGAATCCACCTAGAATTATCTATGTTTTTGGTGATTTAAGATTAAGATTTTTCATTACTTTCATCTGGAGCAAGTTCTCAGAGCATGTTACCACTGTGTCAGCAAAAAGTGTGAGTGCATTTCCTCCAACTTAGATAAGTGTAACTCATAAAAGACACCGCTTTATCTTCATGTTGAGAGCTTACTCGGAGAAGTAGATGTTAGGGGAGAATACAGTCTAGAGGGCAGAGCCTGAATTCTTGGCAGTTTCTCCAGGAGCAGATGCACATCTGTGTGGATCTCATCTAAGGTCTGGTGAGCCTGGTAATCTGATGGTCAAACAGTGCAGCTCCATGGTGGAACAGCTGGAGGAGTGCCCTGGTAGAGGCATGTGAGCAATTCCCTGGCAAATCTCAATCTGTCTCTTAACTTAAACCTGGTCTCTAGTCACAGCAGCATCGCTGTGTGTAAAAAATGTCTCCTCACTCCACCCCTGCCATCTCAGTCTTAGAGCTGCACAGGACATACACCTGGAGCATCTCCCACATGTGGACAGAAAAGTCCGGGGAGTCATTACAGACAGGACTCTGAGATGAGCACACTTCACTTCCCTTTGAAGGCTTCTGCTTGGGTCTGCGTGTCTGAATGTTGAACAGAGCTAGAAGTAGTGTCCTGTGCACAGATGTGAGCATGCACATGGGGAGGAACACCAGAACGTGGATTGGAGTGCATGGATTGTGTAAACCTCTGTCTTCAGTACTGGCCAACGGCAAATGTCTTCTTCGGAATATTCTCCCAACCTCTAGCAGTGTGTACTTCAGAGTCTTCTTGAGCCAAAGGTTGTGCCTTCGCGTCTTTGCATTTAATAAAACCTCTCAACAGGTTTCTCTCCCCTACACATGCCTGTATTCGTGTGTGCTGCCAGACACCTCTAATGGCTTCTTTTTGTTCCAGCCCAAGCACCACAGACCATCAGCGCTCCACTGGTCATCAGTGAAGAAACACCTGTCATTAGCCTGACTGTGGATAACACCCACCTGGAGCATGGGGTGGTGTACGAATACGTCAGCAGTGCAGGAATCAAATCCTTTGTCCTGGAGAAAATTGTGGAACCAAAAGGTTGCTTCAATCTCACTGCAAAGGTACCAGAAAGCATACATGGCCAGCTTCATTTCTAGATAGAACAAGGAAGCCATTAATACAGGCATTTCTTTGGTGGTTTGGCTCTTCAGATGAGGTAACATGTGGTCTTTTCATCCCTGCTTGGAGTTTTCTTCACTGGAGTGCACCAGCTTATAATAGCTCATTTGGGATGTGCAAGTCAGCAAATGCTTCCGGGATCTCAGCTGCTGAGTAGCTGGAGGGGAGCCCTCAGCTGGGGAATTCTCACTTTTATCTGCAACATACTCTTTTATGATACTCAAAATGAATCTTTTCAGGCAAGAATTTGCTTTACCATGGGAGAGGAATTCAAGGAGCTTTTTCCCATCTGATAGGCTGGATGGATCACTAAAGGAATCAAGCAGAACTGCTGCTACTGGAAAGCAGCACTGCGCTTGGTGTTGTGGTCATCTGTGACAATAATGAGCTAATATTCAATGTTTCTGTCATGTCCCAGTAACATTATTGTTATGTCCCATACTACACCACAGCAGGTTCTTTGACAGCACGCAGTGGATATTTTGATCCACTTCAATTGTTCTAAAACTTTTGGAGGAATGTTCTGTGACTGGGAGCTTAGACATGATGGTGGCTCTCAGGTAACAAAGGCAGCTTGTTCTGAAGGCAGGTTTATTCAGCCATGACAGCACAGGGACTTTGCCACTTAGTTGGTGGAAGAAAACTGTGTTTTCCCTCACTTTCAAGTCCCATATCCTTGACGTCCTGTCTTTTTGTTTAGATTTTAGAGGCCTTTGCTGCAGAGGACAATCACTTCGTAAGGAATTGCAAAAGACTTATATCCCTAAGCAGTGCTGTGGCCACCATGCCCCAGTATGAATTCCGGCAAATCTGTGACACTAAGCTGGAAAGCATTAGCAGAAGGCTCACAAACTACCAAGAGGTACAATGCTACTAGTTATTGGTGAAGTCTCAGGACAGTACTTCATTGTGATAACTGTGTCTTAGATTTCTTTATAAATGAATCTGAACTGCTTCAGGTGTAGGTGTCTTAGAGGCATGAAAACAGCTCTGCAAGTTACTGAAATGGCAAGTTTTGAGGAAAAAGACCTTATCCGTAAATGACTCCTTTCAGCTTGTCAAAACAGTGAGTTATAACATATTATTGCAGGTTCATTTCTACCATATCAGTGAATAAATATGACAACAGAATGATCGGTGTCTGATTTAACATGGACATAAGTACAGCATATTGTGGTGTAAATGAACCATGTGTGCTTTTTTGTGCAGTTACCTGAGCTGTTTGAAGAGTCCTGGAAGGTATAGCTAATTGCTTTCATTTGTTGTTCTATGAGCTTTTTTTTAACATGTTATTCCAGCTGCAGCAGAAAATCATATGATTCTGGAATAGTAGGCAGGAAGAGAACAGGCTTGTCTATATTGCATTGTATTTTTTGGCAAGTGAAGTAGCAGACGCTTGCTTTATTTCTCCCAGTTTGCAGATGAACTGAAAACAAAGGTGAGCCCAGCCTTCAAGCAAGCCACCATGGAACCACATTCCCTCAACAGCATGGATTTCTGCCCCACCAACTGCCACATCAACCTCATGGAAGTATCATACCCCAAAAACACTACCTCAGCAGGGAGGTCGTTCAGCATTCGCATTGGACGGAAACCCTCTATTATTGGTCTTGATCCAGAACAAGGTGATAATTAACTTTGAAATCATACCGACTGTATCTGCGTAGAAAGTTGTGTCTTTCCACTGCTCAGCAAGGTCAAAATAAGTTCTGAAGAGACACTGTCTTGCCAGTACCCTTTGTTCCTCCTTAAAATTTTATAGTAAAATGACAGCCTCCTTGTGTCGTAAAATAATATTGCCTTTAAGGTTAGAGGCTTATGGTCAAACCTTTTTCCTAGCTAAGCAGTGTGGTCATCACATGACAATTAAGTGCCCTAGAGTATTGTTTGCATTTAGCAGAGGTGACTGACTAAAACCAAAGTGAGTGGGGGCTCATAGTCCTGCTAGTGCTGTGAAGAGAGGCTATGTGCAGGGGCAAAACGTGAGTCAATTAGATTGTAGTGCTCTTTTCTTTTGTCATTACTAAATAAGTTCCATGCACTGCAGCTGAAAGTCTCTACTCTGTCAAGGGGATCTATGTCCTGATTATCTGAGTTCCAGCATTTCTTCATCATGATCTCACCTGTTTGGAAGTGTACACTAACCAATCTTCTGAAGAATGGCATGACTATTCAAAATGAGGTCAATAAAGAAGCTCTGCTCACTTGAAGATATTAAATGCGAGTTAAGATGGTTAGAAAAGTACCATCATTTTTAAGTGAAAAGGAATTTTATTTATCTTCCATAAAGGCATAATCCTATTTCTTTATATATATATGTGTGTGTGTGTGTTTAAATGTTTGTAAAGATGGAATAATAACAGAACTTGAAGTCATTAACATACTACCCATGTTGTCTGTATGAGTATATGTGGGGACAGTTGCTGTCGTTACTTCCGTAATTTAACCTGCTTCTGGACTGCAGTACATTCAAAGCATCTAGTTGGCATGCCAGGGAAAACAAGAGCCTTCTGTCTCTTTTTTTTTTTTAAAGGATGTTTTTTGTCATGGACTATAACTAAATAATGCTGCGAAGATTTTTTTTGTCCTGTTAAAATTCCACCTATCCTAAACTATCATAACTGAGATGGAATGGGGAAAGTCACGAGAACCATACTAACTAGACTCTTCAATGTTCAGTAGGTACCTTAAATCCAGTCTCATATACTCAGCATTGCATCACTACTATGGCTGCACCATCCTGGAGATGTCTGACCCCCGAAGACGGAGATCTTGATGGCAGCTTTCGCCAGCAAAATGGAGGAACCATTCAGGAGGAAAGGGGACTCAGTTTTCTGCTGAAACATGAAGATCGGGAGATACAGGACTCGTACTTGCACCTTTTTAACAAACTTGACATTGCAGTGAAGGAAATGAAGCAGTATGTCATTCAGATAAACAAGTGAGTGAAGAATCCTCTGTGCACCGCAGACAGCAGTTCTGATAGAATGGAGGCATTAATCTCGGAAAACCCGTGCCCGTCGGCCCCAACTGCCAGACTCACAGTCACGTACTCACATGTGCCCTTGCATCACAGCTCCTTGCTGGTTGTGTCACACCTACTCCAGTGCAGATACACCTGTGTATAGATTACTGGCCTTTGCTCTTAGAAGTCTACCTGAATTCAACAACTGTTGTTTCACTTGTCTGTTTTGCCAAATATATAACAATCTACTTGGTGCTAACAGCAGTTTGGGAATTCCATATAGACAGAATCTCTCCCCTTGAGATTTTGTCATAAGGCAGACTGAGCAAAACTTGTGATTTCAGGCGTCTTTCTCTATGGCACCTATGTTCTCCTTTCATCTTTTTGCCTTTTTCTCTTTCTCATCATGAGTCTCCTAGTAGTAGTAATGAAGGATTTGAGTAGTGCCTCTGTGTACTGTGCATTGCTGGCAGGGCTTTGGTAGCAGGGACTGCAGGGGTGATCTGTGTGGGAGGCGGCCATGAGATGCCCTAAGCTGCTCACAGCCACTTCCAGGAATCCCAGTAACAAAGAACAGCCCGTTGTGCACCAAAACTTGAGCTAACTGGAAAGCACTTGGAGCCGTGGCTCAAATCTGTGTAAGAAAGGGCGGTAGCTGCTGGGTGGAGCCAGTGAGCTGAGGCACTGCCCCAGAGCAGAGATCCAGCGCCTTGGGTGGAGGAAGTGAGGGTTTGGTGAGTTACACCCAAGCCTTTCAGGCCACCATGGTTACAGCGATGAAGCTGTACCTTATGGGGGTAGGGTGCCTGTGGAAACAGGACCTTTTGAGATTCATGGATTTTGATGAAGCTCTTTCAGAGCTTGCCATTTTATGTAGCTGTAGTCTATCCAGAATGCGGCCAAGGTTTCTTTTGATTTCATGTAGCTGAATTCCAGCCTTAGTCATTCTACCTCATTTTTGGGACTACCCACCAGTCCCTGAGAGCTCTATCTTCTACTTTTGCAGACTTTTGTCCACCATAACGGAACCTACACGAGGGGGTGCCTGTGAGCCACCATCTACTGAGGAGACATCTCCACCTTCCCTGGGAGCAGAAGAGAGTGATCCTGACAAAGCTGAGCATGGTGGAATCAAGAAGGTCTGTTTCAAAGTTTCTGAGGAGGACCAGGAAGACTCTGGACATGACACAATGAGTTACAGAGACTCCTACAGGTCAGTCTGAAGATTGTGCCACTTTTATTCTATTAATATAATGTTTCAAAGTTCTAATCTAGGCATGGGTTCAACAAGCAGGTTATTTTCCAGTTAGTCAATTATTCTGTACTCAGTGTTCACTAGCTATAGTTATTTCATTACATTTTTTACCATGAAGACATACACAGCAACTTTTCCTTATAACAATGCCAAAATACTAACACTTCAAGAAAAGTGAATAAAATTAGATAAATAGGTTGAGTGTGACTTTATGTATTGCATAGCTGGAAATTACAAAAGCTCAGCAGAGTTTGCAGACTGCTTGGTCTTGTAATAGCCACTCTGGCAAGGGGACGTTTCCATTCAGTTCTGGAAATAAATCTCCCAAATGTCTAAGACACTGAGAAACAAACTAATAGGCCTTTGAAACCACAGATTTAAATGTTTATTCAGGTGTCTCAAAATTTTTGGGTTTGGGACATGATTGACTGCTACTTCTCCAGGAATATTTGCTACCAAAGGAAATGCCACACACTCCAAATCTGTCTGTTTTGCGAGGAAACAGTTGGAAACTCTGCTTGAGAAGAAATGGAGTAACAAGTTGCAGACATGTCTGACCATTGGCCATTTTAAATCCTTAACTGGCCATTTTTACATCTATGGTAAGGCCATAGGACTATGCCTATACAAAGGGGTAAAGACACTTTACAGTGAGCTGGCAGGATTACAGAAACCTCAATGAATGTCGCATCTTGGAAGGTCCACGTTACAGGCCTGATTCTTTACTTGGTGTTGGTTTTGTACTAGTACACCTGGTAACACGTTACATTCATGCAGGACTGCAGAAATGATGAAGTCAGAACAGGTACGTTGGAAAGGGTCTCTGGAGCCCACGTGGTCCAGTCTCTCGCTCAGAACACGTCCAACAGGGTTGGTTGCTCAGGGTCTTGTCCTGTTGAATACTGAATGTCTCCAAGGACAGCAAATACTAAGTCAGTAAAGAAACACAGCCAGCACTCACGATGCTGAGATTCATGACATCTGTTTATTGTGCTAGATTTAAATCTGCACATGTACTCTGAAAGGTTTTTTTATTGAAATGTGCTTTCTTTCATTGTTAATAGGAAACCCAGTTATGAACAGTTTAGTTTAAATGGTTTCGATAATTGCGACTAATCTATTCTGGGTAACAGAGTGACAAGTCTGTCACTTGTTCCAAAATTCTACACATAAATGGAAGAGGAGAAGAATTATTCTGTCTTATCTTTATCAGAAGCAGAGAATTAAGCATATATTACAGATAGTAGTTACCCAAGGGGGAATAAAATGTATTTGGATGGTTTTTGATCTGAAAAACTACTGAGGAGCTACAAAAATAAGCAAATTGCAGTTAGGAAAATATCTTGTTTGCATTAACCATGCTGCGTCCTCTGGCATCATGGGGAGGTGTAACAAATTTCATAAGGGTTTGTACTGTGGAGTAGTTGCCATAAGTATTAATCTTCTTCAGAAAAGATAGTTCTCTTTGATAATACATTTAGCAAAGGACAGGAGTTCTTTGAATTGCTTTTGTATTTTTCTCTCATCTCAGTCTAAAATAACCCCAGGACAAGACAACAGGGAGAATTTTGTAGGCTTTTGTTTTGGGCTTGTATCAGTAAAAACACTGTGTCACTTAACTGGAGGGGACAGACCGAGATCCATAACCTTTTTAAGTACTTTTATTAATTTATAATTAGTGTAAAGTGAACTTTAAACAGAGGAGATTGATGCTAGAATTTTACAGGTGTGCATAAGCTGCTATTGGTGTGAAGCCAACTCTAGTGACTCCCTGCTTCCTGAGGTAGTTTTAGCATCTGCAGTACCTGATTTTCCAGCGGTACAGATTCCTTACATCTCCTGTTCCATCTCCAATATCTGTGCTTCCGCAGCTTCAATATGTGCTGGAGTTGGATGCTCTAATACTCTGAATATTGGTAACAAATGTTGATTTTAGTGGAGATTCAATCTCACAGATTTTAAGTATTTCTCCTCTACTCAGTGCTCATAGAGCACGTTTAATGAGACAACCCAGATGAGGGGTGGGCAGTCCATATCCATTATTTGTAGGATCCAGGTGATATATTGAGCACTGAGTGGTCACTGCAAATGGAAAAAGACATCCTCTGTCAGTGGCAGCCCCAGTGACCTTGCTTAGTGGTTGTTCTGCATGTCGTTAGTTTTTCTTTTCTGTATGCGTAACAGAACTAACTTTGAGGATTGCAGTGTTGATAAAAACAGAGTGATAGCATATCGGGGGCTCAGTGTAAGGACAACTTTTTTTAGTCACCTTCTTTGCTTTTCTTTCTAGTGAATGTAACAGTAACCGGGACTCCGTGTTGTCGTACACGAGTGTACGGAGTAATAGCTCGTACCTGGGCAGCGATGAGATGGGATCCGGTGAGTACATGCAGAGGTTACACATCTATTTCTCATACCAGTTGCCTTAGTATAGCTGGTAAGTCTTTGCTGATTGTAAAAACTTGAGTGTTTAAGTTGCAAATGTGATTTCTTCAAAACTGGTCAAAAGAACTTTAAGACAGAGATTTGTTCTTTTTCTAATGAACCACAGTAAATATGAATATGGAAGAGGTATTAAGCAAGGATAAGCTTCTTTAGTTATTGGACATTTGCATTGTAGGAAAAGTCACGGGTATTTTGATCTATGAATTAGAGACAAAGAAGCAATAGCTTTTAACTTGCTCTGGTGTGAAGGTGTGAAAGCTTTTTGTCTTTCTTTTATTAGGAGATGAGCTTCCCAATGATATGAGGATTCCTTTAGACAAACAAGACAAACTTCATGGCTGTCTAGAACATCTTTTTAACCAGGTATGTAAAGCACTGCTCTTACACAGAATTGCTTCCTCTTTATCAAAGTTTGTCAAGAAATTTGGAGTATCCAAGTGTTTAATGAAATTATATTTTGAGGGAAGGCAAACTATCAAGATGTTGGGGTATGGTCTCAGCAAATGTATTATAGGACAGTTCAAGGAGTCAGTTTTGTCAACACCAAGTTGTCTTGTGTGATTTAAGCAAGGTGGGCCTGCCTTATCTCAGGCATTAGACTGAGGGGGAAAAGGCTTTCATGAAATAAAGGAAAAGGTGAACAAAATTCTGATACCTTGTATGATCTAAATGTATCACATTTACAAATCACAGGGGAGTCCTTGCAAATTCAGCCAACAGATGTCTTTACAGACATGGAGCACCAGAGAACTGTTTTGTATTATCTTTCATCTCATCATGTAGATCATTCTGCAAATGCTGTATTCAGTGGGAGGCTCTTGAGGCCAGTTCATGGTTAGAAAGTCTTAATGCTCTTTGTCAATGAGAAATCATTCCAAAATACAGATTAGTGTGTAACGGCTTTTGCATTTTCCCACAAGAGTTCTGTTCAGATTGTCTTCTGCAAATCTTAACTAACACTGACTGAAAACATTTTGATTGTAGGTTGATGCCATCAATGCACTTCTAAAAGGACCAGTAATAACTAAGGCCTTTGAAGAAACCAAGCACTTTCCAATGGACCACAGTTTGCAAGGTAAAGAAGGTGGTTGATTGTATTTCATAAAGTGATTTGCTAGGCCTGAAGAGCTGAACATGACTGCACATACGGTACATGGCCACACAGTGTTACTCAGCTATGCAGTCCAGCCAGTCATACACTAGCAGCAGGTACTGCGCCCGACTGTTGCAGTTTTGCATCCTTAAAAGGTCATTTTCACATGAATTCCTTCTGGAACACACCGAGCATTTCTGTTACATGCCGCCGAATCCTCACAGCTCTTTCACAAGTCTCCAGATCTCCTTTGATGTGAACACAGATACGCAGCTCAAAAGGTACAAGGTAGAGATAGGCCAGACACCAGGTGAATGAGCACTCTGATAAGCTGATGAGGGGCTGACCGCTGGAGATCTGAGGCACCAAATGGTTCTGCCCGAGTTTGCTTAATGACTTACTCTGCTTTTCTTCAGATGGATAATTGCCAGAGTAAGCTCATCCTCACATGACACTTATTTTGAAAACTGATTCCCATAGAGAGCAAACAAAAGATACAGTGTTTTCTTTTTCCTCAGGGAACATGATGAGACTTTGGCCTTAATGGTTTTGAGGCCCGGGATGTGGTTTCTTCTCTCCCTGAAACACACAGGACTTTATTTTCTGAACATTTGCTGCATTTCCTTTCCCACTTGAATCAGAAATGTTTCCTTCTATTCCTACTATACTTCAGGTGCTGTAGTCATGCCCCTTTGACAAGCCTTATTTTTAAGTTATAGTGAAAACCTCAAGAGGATGGGGTTTTTTCTGCTTTTTTTTCCTGGCTCCAAATGTAATTCCTATGAAGTTCTGTTACATGAACTCATCTCTACAAACACATCTGCATTGATGTAGACTATCTGTTAGTCTTTCCATGCCCTGTTTGAATGAAGAAACAGCAGACACCCTGTGTTCACATCCTTGATTTTATTTTGCTTAAACAGTGTCTCATTTATTAAAAATACATTAGTTACACTGAGAGAGTCTTCTAGTTACCTGAGGTTTAACTTAAAGGACCAGACAAGCCCTGCTTACATTCAGCTGGAATCCTGGACCAGAATGTCAGTTTAATAGCTACCACAGACGTCTGTCAGGGATGGATGTCCATGGGAATGTTGTCTCATTTCTGTTCATAAGCAGTTACTTAGATCAGTTTTTCTGTTTCTCTGCTTATATATTTTATCACCAACAATAGAGTATTTGGCTTAGCTATATAGCTAAATCATGGAGAATAAATCTTTTACTCTGTAATCAAATAATTAGCTTCCATTAGGTGAAAGAAAGCAGAATATTTCATAACTTCTCATCAGTATTATGGGATGTGACAGCTGCAGCCAAAAAGTTGATCTGATTCCTGCACAGCCAGAGACTCTAGATTTATTCAGTAGAGCTGCCTGCACGTTATTAAAGGCAGAGAAAACAGGTAGGAATTCTGGGCTCTGTGGGTAGTGCAGAGCTCCTCTCACTATGCCTGTCACCCATGTACACAAATTTTAGTCCACAATCCTGAAAATAATGCTAGGAGAGTGCTGATCATAAGATTATCGGAGCAGTCTTTTTTTCCTACTGTATTAGGTCTATTTAAGAACCTTTTTAATTCACAGTTGTTGATGCTGTATCTCTGTTTTCATCTGTATAAACATTATAACTAATAAGCCCCTCTCAAATATATTTATAGCATTTCCTTAATGGCTAAAGAACCCTTTTTTTTTTTTTCCTAGAATTTAAACAGAAGGAAGAAACCACAGTTAGGTGCCGGAATAATATTCAAGCCAGCATTCAAGAAGATCCATGGAACCTTCCATTGTGCATCAAGAACCTTGTTGAAATCATACAAAAACACGTGGAAGGTCTGTAAATAAGGAAAAGTTTCTTGCCAGACACAGGGAGAAAAGATCTCGGTCTAATCAAGTCTAGCAATTCATTTTATCATTTTATCTCCAGAGGAGAACAGGCAGAACAGGTTACTGTGCGCCGAGTCCCGGTGCGGTATGGTGAAATCCTAACTGCAGCAAGTCCAAAGGACTTTCTCTCCCTTATTTTATTTTATCAGCCCAGTCACACAGAATGACATCAGACTGATCTATTGTGCTGTGCTTTTCTTAACTGTTTTTGAAAATGAAGAGGGAGATGCTTGGTATATTCCAAAATGAAATGAAAGCTAATCTGAACTGTTGCAGCCTGGCTGAACTGGAACAGGAGCTGAATCTGATGTTTACAGCCCAGTGCAGAGCACTGCACTGGGACAGAAGTCGCCTCCTTAAGGATTCACCTACATGTACCATTTGTTTCCAACAATTTATGGTTGTTAACAGAGCATTTAGCCTGTAAAATTCTTTGATTTACACCTTGTTTCTTTTTTAGTCATTAACATGTCTGTGTGAGTAAGGAGTAAATGGAAATGGCCACGCAGGGGCCGGGGACTGTAAGGAATGAGGACACTGTTAACCAAATGCCATCAAATCTACCTTGGTATCATGCTGACCAAAGCGTTCTCTTCTTCACTGTTTTAGATGGGAAGAATCAGCTGCTTTTGGCCTTGTTAAAATGCACAGGTAAGGGATTTTGATTTGTTGCAAAACAACCTCCTACATTCAGAAGCCTCTAACATAATTTTGTATGTATGCATGTGCACACACCAGAATGCTACGCTTTTTCTTAGTATTTAGGTTTCTCCCTGGCATTTTATGCAAACATTTCTCATGCTCTGCATCTAAGGAAACCTTTCCATGCATCTGACATCTGTTCTGCAGTTTATGTTATTTCAGTTCACTGTAGGCTGCTTGTGTTACCTGGCTGGTTCCTGAGTTTCACAAGCACTGTTTTTCTTTTCACTGTCTTCATTTTTCCCTTTGTGCAGTCCACCTCCCAGATGGCCTTTACTGTTTCCTGCTGTGGTGTGAACATGCAGCAAAAATGAGACCTGTTGCACAACTTTCTGTGAGACCATGGACTCTGTCATCTTTCCTAGCAGGCATGCTAGGGGTTAGGATTGTGTATACTGAAATTACGGCCACGAGCAGATGAAGAACCTGTGTTCTGTGTGCAGGCTGCAGCTAATTACACTGTGGACATGATTAATTTACTATGTATAAAACCCTGTGTCACAAATCAGGGGACAGGCCTTTCCCAGGATGGAACGTGCAGTCATTTTGTAATCGAAACACCTATTTGGTGTGCTTTCGTTTGAAAATGAGGTTTGAAAGTAACTGGAATAAGCTGCCATTATGTCACTGTGCTAGACTTGATTCTCAAGTCTTCGTAGAATGGAGAGATTTGTATGGTTCTAAGTCACCTCTCAGCTCCTGCCAGGGCTGGCCCATGAGTCTGTACAAACCACTCTAGCATCCATAAAGGCTGATTTTACTGAGAGCAGACACGGCGACTCCCTAAGTCCCTACCTGTGCTCCATCTCCTGCAGCATTTCCATGAACGTCCTCTGGAAAGAACTGAGGAACAGATGGCGCTGACCTGGCTACGGCAGCTCTGTGGCACCGGGGACTCCCTTGCCATGAGGGCAGTCCTCACTTCTCTTTGCCCTACTTCCACGAGCACAGAGGTGTGCTCCTAGAAGGATTGCTTGCCCTTAAGTTGTGAATATGGCCCACGGCCTGGAGTGTACTAGTCTGTCTGTCATGTTCAGTGCTTTATAAAAGTAATCCAGATCCTCAAAGCCTCTGGGTGACATCTTCAGCTCCTTTCTCTGGGGAACACTGTCTTGACAATGGCAGACTGCTGTACTGCAGTGCCTGCTGGAGGAGCCCAGGGTGCCTGAGAAGCAGCTCTTCACTTATTCATGTGCCTCTTTGGCCTGCAATCCCCTTAAGTGTGACAGGGTTGATTTGACCAGCATGTGGCTGCCTGGCAGGCAGACTGGAAGCAAAGTTAGCATGGAGGAAATTCTCCCAGGAAACATAAACCAGTTGGTATCGTATGGGCAGGCCCAGTTAATGCATTAAGCATATGGGAAGCCCACAAGATACAGATGGATGGGGGAAGATGAATCTCTAATAGCCCAGGAGAGAAGTAATGGCAGAGACCTACTTTCAAGAATTCTCTTGCTTCTGTAAACATAAGGGAATCAGTCCAGAAAGGACATTAAGGAGTTTCAGCTCTTCCCAGTCAGAAGAATGAGCGTGCAGATGGCAGAGGTAGGAGTAAACAGTAAAGTGGACTAGAAAATTTTCAAACATGCATGTGCTCCAGCTATGCTGTCCTTATCTGTACACCCAGGTCATACAGCAAGAAGAGGTTATCTGTTAAGTCTGTGCAAAGCTACAGAAGCCAAATGTCATGCATGCAAACGGCCTGTTTGGCAGTGAGATGAAAGTACAGTCATGTCTTGTTTGTCCTTCTCTCCCATTCTCTGGCAGACACTGAGCTGCAGCTGAGACGTGATTCCATCTTCTGTCAGTCTCTTGTGGCTGCGATTTGCACCTTCTCAGAGCAGTTACTGGCTGCTCTCAACTACCGATACAACAACAACGGGGAATACGAAGAGAGCAGCAGAGACGCCAGTAGGAAATGGCTGGAACAGATAGCAGCCACTGGGGTTTTACTGAACTACCAGTCTCTTCTCTCTCCTGCGGTGGTAAGACGAAGAGTTGTGGCACCCTTGGGTCTGCTCACACTTGATGTGTGCTCCTCTGCCACTAACAGCGCAGCCAGAGCCCCTCATTCTAGCAGCATGTTTAGACCCTGACTACAACCTCTGGAAACCATGTGCCAGTATTCCATATCCCATCACTGGCACACTAACACACGCTAGGAATCGGTTTCCCTTTGTAGTTAGGGCTCCTGCACCAAAACGTTGCTGCACTTAGGTTTTGCCACTCAGTGCTTGGTGACACATGTGTGGCCTGCCACCTTCTGGTGAAAGCACACATTTCAACAAAAACGTAAAGAAGTCCGGTGTATGTGAAGAGTTCAGACAACATGAAAAGTCTTTTATTTATCCAGTGGATACTTTGATAGAATAGATAGACTACAGAGACTGTCACTGGAGAGGAGCTGGTCTTGCATAGTTCATGTTCACCTATTGAATAGATAAGCCACAGCTACAGTAGATACCTAACTGTAAAAATGTTAACTAAAAAGCATAAATAAAGTAACTGACACTATAGAAAACAGACTTTTTTTGGACTTTGTACATATTGTAGATTAAATGTGGCATGTTTTTCTTAGAAATACAAACCAAACTATATGCATGTGTAACTGCCATTTCTTTACATTTCATGGAATGTGGTGACATTTTTTTTCAGTAACTGTTAGATGGTTCTTCACATTTGTAGGTATAGAGTGAAGTTTGGAGAAAAAGATCCCTCCAGACTTACTCAGTCCTTAAACCTCTCTACTCTCTCTGCATCACATCAGATGACATCTCAGCAAAGGGTAGCTAAACTTAAATCACAAAGTTAAAGAGCAATAATAATTACCTGGCTGGGATAGAGTTCATGGAAAGCTCCAGGTTCTGCTTTAGGTCTCCTGATCCAAAGCACGGCCATCACGACCACATTGTCCTGCCACTGTCTCTTTCTAGCAGATTATAACCTGTATTTATCTGTTCCTTTGCTCTACAGAAGGAGGAGCGCACTATGCTGGAAGACATCCAGGTCACTCTGACTGAACTGGACAAAGTTGCCTTCTATTTCAAACAGCTGGATGAAACTCTTGTAGCAAGTGAGTATTCTCTGCTTCTTTGAAGCTCCTTTTTTTCTTGTTTATTAGGTTAATAGCCTCCATGATTATAAATGGATGTGGCACTTGAGGAGATGGTCTAGTTTTACAGTGGTGTAGGGCTGTAGGTTGGACTTGATGATTTTAAGGTCCTTTCCAACCTTGATGTTTCTATGCTTCTATGATTTCTGTGTAACAGCCCGTCAGACTGGAAAGCACTGAGCAACTTTGCTGAGGCAGTGTTGCATTCCGTCAGCTTCCACTGCAAACACGCGGCATAAAAAGCAGGACCGACACCACGGGATGCTGGTGGCGTGTTCTGTGGTTTGTAACCATGGCCTGTGCCTGTGTACCTGACCGGGGTGATTTCACGCACAGGGAGATAGGACAGATGATGAGCAGCTCCTGACAGATGTTTGTAAATCACCACATTAGCTGAGGTAGAAGTACTGTCCCTCCCCAGCTCTTCTCTGTGCCATGTGCCACCCTGCCAGATCTCTCTCCATGTACTGACGCTGTGATGCCATGAAACAAGATGGGATTTTAATTATTAACCGTGTTTACTGTATTCACACCAAACATCATGCTAGGTCATGTCAATTGTGTATCTGTTTAAGTGCTGTAATTCAGAGCCTGGATTCTTTCAGTGAAAGCTCTGCCTTATTTGTCTAATGAGGGAGATTTGAAATAACGTTAGATAATCTAACAAACTCTGATAGCAATGATTTTGCATTTCTCCTGCTGTGGTAAAGCAGCAAGTGTTTTATCTCTGTTTCTCCAGATACTCACGTCTTCTACCACATTGAAGGAAGTCGTCAGTCCTTGAAGGTTATCTTTTATCTTGACAGCTACTACTTCTCCAAACTGCCTTCTCGCTTTCAGAACGGGGGAAGCTTGAAAATGCACACGGTGCTCTTTACAAAAGGTGCCTATAAAAAGCTTTCTTGAGAAAAATAAGCTAACTGGTGATGGTAAAAGTTTCAAAATAAGGAATGACCATGAAGCTCTTAACATAATGCAGCTGAGCACTACAGACATATTTAAGAAGCAGATGTTTCTGTTCTGTTCTAGGAAGACGCGGGGAGTGCCAGGTTTTAGAGTAGGACATAGTCATAAGAGCTGCCTGCTTGGGAATTTTTTAAGCCTTCCTGTAAAGGCCATAGAGACATCACATTGGACTGCGTGGGCAGTCTGACCAAGTAGGGTTTGCAGGCTACAGAGAAGTGTTTGTAAAAGCATGCACCATGTCAGAATTATCTGGGCTGGAATTGGCTGGAAAAGGAAATATTCACACCAAAATATAATACAGGAAGTTTACTTCAGGGGGATATTGATGGGGAGTAATTACTGTGGGACAGAACTGCTTCCTGTGAAACTCACCTTCATGGTGCTGCCACTGTATTCCCACAGTGGGAAAGGCACTAACTTTATGCAGAAACAGAATCAGCCTCGACATTTGCTGAGCAGTGGCATGATACAGGGATAAATAAGCAAATGAATAAAAAGAAAACAAGTAACGTAGGTTTAGTAAAATGTTTTCTTCTTCAGCTCTGGAGAGTATGGAGGGGCAATCACAAGCAGCTGGCTCATCTCTAGAGGAACTTCCACAGCAAATTAATGCTATTTCACTCGAAAAAGTGCAGCAGTACTACCGTAAACTCAGGTATTTAATGTTTCTCCTCTTCTTTAAAAGACATTGAATAGAGCTTTCCCTGCTAAGGACCTTAAAATTTAATCAAAAAGAGATTCCATTCCTGATGGTCTCTTGTAGAAATATTACTTTTGGAGATCCTCATTGTGTGGGAAACCTGGTAATTTTCTTCCCACAGTTAAGCTCATTCTGAAGTAGTGCGGCGCACAGGATGAAATTTCCCAGAATTTTGTGCTAAGCCAAAATTACATAAAAAAGGAGGTTTGGAATATTTTAGTACAAACCCTGTAAACTGCTGCAGTGAAAACACTTTAATAAAAAAGCAGAATTTAGCATAGCCTTCTCAGATGGTTTATACAAGGTAGTATACATATCTGGGCTTGAACTGAGACACACCAACTAACGTGGTCCTTGCTGGCCTTTTTGCAGGACGTTTTACCTTGAGCGATCAAACTTGCCCACTGATTCCAATACTACTGCAGTGAAGATTGACCAGGTATTGTTATTGTGTTTCTGTCTACAATAAATTCTCTCATAGAAATACTATTTCTACATCTCTAAAATCCCATAGTGGGATGCCCTTATGGCAGACTTGTACAAAGCCAAACATCATTGCAAAAATGTTCCCTACCCTAAAGGAGTGATCTGAAGCTTGGCTGCAGTTCTTTTGTTCAGAAGAAAATGTGCAAAACTGGGGTAGATGCCAAATCCTTAGCCTAGGCACTAGTAAGACTCCACAACACCCTGCCTGCCCCTGCTGAATACAGGACCTGATGTAAGACAGAATTAATTAACTTTCCTCTCCCGGAAATGCATGAAAATGAACAAAAGTTCAATTTCCGGGTTATGCTTTGTTCACAGTTAAAGAATAAAAAACCAACAAGATGGTACTTCCCAGCATCTCACATAAAGGCAGGCTGTCTAACTGGGGCAGGTGACATATGTGAATGTAAAGCAGTAAACACTACTGCAGGGAAGACATAATCCAAGACTATCTTTGCAATTGTAATATACATTGTAAATAATCTTTGTGATAATTGCAAAAAAATGCCCCAAACCTAAGTAATTGTTTGTATTTTTCCACTTCCAGATTCATATATATTTTAAATTGTTGTTACTGTGTGGCATTTACTCTTGTGTAGATTATTGTGTGTAGGATAAACATCTTTATAGCTTAAAGGTGTACATATGCCACTGATGCCTGGGCTTTTTTTGCTTTGTTTAGCTGATTCGCCCCATCAATGCAATGGATGAGCTTTGCAGGCTAATGAAGTCTTTCATTAATACAAAACCCACCCAGTCAGGATATTCAAGCAGTTCCACGGCAGGAGCTGGCCTGCTACCCATCTCCTCGGAGCTCTGTTACCGACTGGGAGCCTGTCAGATTACCATGTGCGGCACTGGGATGCAGAGGTGAGATTTAAGTGTTACTGGTGTGCTGAGAACTTCTGTCCTTTCTAAGGATTTGAGCAAGATGTTTGATTCTGCTTGAAAGAGTAGAAAGGTACATCATAAGGCAATATAAGACAGACCAAAACCTACTGCCGCTTTTATTTTAGGGTAAGTTGAGACTTCTAATACTTTTGTTAATGATTAGTAAATACTTTTGTTAATGATTAGTACTGACACACAAACTTTGTTATGTTTCAGTGCATCAGCCAATGCAACTGACTGAGAGATCTCATTGCATATAATTGTCAGTCAGTGTTGTCTTCAGTCACAAGCTGAAAATATAGGAAGTTACTAAAAAAAAGCTTAAGAATCTTGGTGTGTGCAAGCATTGATTTTAAACACATGACTGTTCTTCCAGTGTCTCAAAATGGTTGAGTGAAGAAAAAATTAATTTGTGAGTAACTTTGTATGAATCAAGGCAGAAGAGCCTTGTAGCAATGATGCTGGAGTATAGGTGTAGTGAGACTGAAAATGCAGGACTGAGGTAATTTCATAGTTTTGTAAATAAACCCCTAAAAAATAAATACAAGAATGCTGGCTAACTGAAGTCATACTTATCGGGTCTCCTGTACGTACCTATTTATGCATTTTAACATATGATCTGTGATTTAGTATCTCTTGCTCCCATGTTCAGAAGCACACTGAGTGTGTCCCTGGAGCAAGCGGCCATACTGGCTCGAAGTCACGGACTCCTGCCCAAGTGTATCATGCAAGCTACAGACATCATGCGGAAGCAAGTAAGTGTTTGGATGAGCACCTGCTGCATGCCCGTTTTCGTTCCAGTAACATCGTGGCACAAACGCCAGTTTCTTTTGATGTGGCACTGTATTTTGTGCACTGCAAACCCATACAGCCAAACTTCTGTTAATATCTGAATAGCTACACGTGCTTTTGACAGGAACAAATTAACTGTTGCCGGTACAACAATTATAGCAATCAAAATATAAGTCTCAGTGTATATTATTTAAAGTATGTGTCTTGATGGTTAGAAAGTAGAGACTATCCCGTATCTTTAAGACAATTTCTGTGTACAAAAAAACCAAGTCTCAATCTCAGTGTTAAATAGTAGAAATTCCCTAGTGCTAGAGAGCAGTGCTTGTAAAGTGCTTTGGGATTAATTCCATCTTTTAAGTAAACACAGATGACTAATGTATCCACCCAATGGATTCCAAGTCTTCTGAAAGTACTTAATGGATTCTCAAATAGAAACCATACTCCCATTATAATATTTTCCCCTAAGGAACAGATGCTTTATCGATACTGTCAGTACCATAAATTCCCTGTTTCCTTAGGGACCAAGGGTTGAAATCTCTGCCAAGAATCTCAAAGTGATGGACCAAATGCCACAGTGCGCACCACGGTAGGTTATTATGCATTTTATCTGAGCACTGGTTTTATGTTTCTGTAGCAGTTGTGGGGTTCCTGTAATAACCAAAGAGCTTAGTAGCAACAGTGGAAAAAAAAAACCACAAAAAATCCTATTTTTCTTTCTCACTGTACTAAACATAGTGCACTGTAGATTAATCAGCTTCCTGCTTACAGTCTGTAGATCATTAACTTCAAAGGTTTCTGCATTTTCTGAGTAAACAAGAACTGACCAGAGAAGGGCCTTTTTTGGACTGTTGCTGTGAGTTGGCAAAGCTAGTGATGGACAGCCAGTTGTGGAATGCTTTGAAATATTCCTGAGTGGCAAATCTGACTGCAGATGCACAAAGTTAATTCATAGGCAACTAGGACTGTGTGTGTAGACGAGTTTGACTGTTTAGTTATGGCAGAGCAGGTTTAAGAGGAAGCACTTCAATTCAGAGTAACCACACAGTAATGCAACTCAAAGGAAGCTCAGTTATCCAGTTTTATACGTGGTTTTGTCTAGAAGTAAACTTTGAAAAGCACTGTGCATTTGTGAATCCTACTGCACCTACCAGGAGCTAGAGATGTTCATCATCTCTCTCTGTAGGTTAAGAATACCGTTATTCTTAAGAGAACTATCACCTTCTGGCCACTTTCCTCCAATTTCACATATCAGAGAGGAGAATATTCTTCAGTGAACCCAGCATTTTCCTGCAATAGTAGTAACCACTTATTTACTGTGATTTAGATGGCAAGATATAGAATCAGTCTATACAAATATCAGAGAAACTTCTGATCCTGCTCTCGTTCATGGCATTGTTCACCTGAAGGCCAGCCAGTTCTGGCATGCAGGAATGAGCATCAAAAAAGGTCCAGGAGGGCCTGTGCCATCCCTTCAGGTAGAGTGAGTGCATTTGCTAGTGCTGGAGTCCTTCGAGGAACATGCTAGTTCAGTGTCACAAAGAGTTCCATAAAACACTGGTATCTTATTCACTCATTTAAGAGTTAGTCTAAACAAGCCTTGCCTTTTTTTTTTTTTCCTATTTGCTCCTCAAAATGTTTGTTTATAGGAAATTATTTTAAACTTCAGAGATTGGGCTGATACTTACTGTAACAGTCTAGCCTCAGTTTGTTTTCTCAGAGACCTTAAAAGGAACAGTATTTCACATTTAGAACCTTCTCCTTCTGTTGGACTGTAATTGCTGTTTCAAACAGGACTAAAATAATGGTCTGTGCTGGCTCCTGTACTATGTCCCCAGTGCCATACATCAGCAGTTTAGCAGCGCAGTTATTTTGCCTTATTAATGGCCATATACTTTTATGACCATAACAGCACGCTGTGTTCAAAAAGAAACCGCTTTACAAACAAATCATAAGATGAGGCATTTCTCTTCTTTTGTACACACAGTAAAGCACAATGACAAATTCCAGGTCTATTTACTTGGATTATTTCAGGGCAATAAAGCTCAGACAGAAACATGTGTTCCTACTGGGTTCCATCACCTTAATGTGAACTAAAACTGAGCAAAGTTAAAAGGAGATCTGGGGAACTAACGTTACTTCTCATGATTATATTTCCTACCATCGAGGTTTGTCAAACTCTGTAGTAGCAGTCTTGAAAGAGAAGTTATAAAAGACTTGAATTTAATCAAATGTAAATCAGAAAAAGCCAAGAAAAAAGCTACCACAGTCACATATGAATGATAGTCAAGATGCACTTAGGTTTACCCACTGGTCTCAATTTGCTAATCTTGAGATTCAAAAAATGTATCTGAAAACATGATTACTAATTTTAAAGTTTGTTTAACTATGTCAACAACCAGATAGGTTATTTTATGTGTTTGGCGTCCTGGTCTGTTGCTCAGGAAAAGGGCAGAACAGGTTTGAAAGGGAAGAAAGAGAAAAAGGAGAGAGGGGACTGCGGAAGCCAAATTGGGCAAAAGTTAAAAGGCAATGATGGAAAGTCTCAAATAGTATTTAAACAATGACTGTAAATATTTTAGTTAATAAATCACTAGTGGTATTTCTAAACTTGCAATTATTAAAATTTTAAAAGTGGTATTCTTGATACTGGATTACCTCTAAAAGCTGCAGAATGAGAAAGAAGCAGCTGACTCTCATATCCTATGCCAGTAACTGTAAGTTATCATCCTTACGGTAGTTAATAGTGTCCTCTGCCTCAAAGCCTCTACAGGTTGTGTGAGCCACCTGCGGATGGGGACTTGTAAAAGTGAGAGAGGCACCCCCGTTGCAGCATCGTTAAAGCATTCAACTCTGAGCAGCCCCGCCCGAGGCCCTGGTAACTGCCCCGACGGCGCTGCGTCCGGAGAGGAAGGGCAATTGCTCTGGTGTAGCAGGAGAGGAACCTGCTGGACCCGGGCACCAAGAATCTGCCTTTCAACTCCTGCAGCACCTGCAGGGATTCGTGTGTCGTTCTGACTTCCCAAAGAAATTCTTGGAAGAAACACCGGAGAGCCAAGAGGGACGTTACTGCCATTTGCCAGATGCCTGGGAAAATGACAATTCTACTTCAAGAAAGCGCGGTTTTACTGGTTACTCCTTTGTGCCGCCACCTAAAAGTTGTGGACTTCAAGATGTGGATTGGTCAAGAGAATTGGGAAAGATGCGTGTCTCGCCCTGTGTTGCATCTGGCAGCCATTTAATTGCCAGTGTGGTTTTGGTCAGCATCCTTGAGCAGCAGCTTCGTAAATGCCACTTTCCCTTGAACTGACCTGCAATTTTGGACAACGAATAGCACAATCTATGGTTTATTCAAATACGAACACAAATAATTTCTTCTGGAGTAATTTTCCACTTCAGCCCAGTGAGAAGCGATCTCTTTATGCTGCAGAGAATACATTCCATAATACTTAACGTTACGTCATTTTACTTACTGTAGCTTTCAGGTTTTTGATTAACTCTTTTTACTAATGCCCTATTATGTACGCTGGAAATACAGTACTATTTAAAAGGAGAGATTGGGAGTGAAGGATCTGAAAGGAAACTTTACAAAAGAAAAAATACAGTCTTATAATCTGATTATTTGAACAGATGTAGTTTTTAAAACAGGTCAGAAGAACTATTCTTATTTATGTGGAGTGGAATATGTGTTTTCAATCATGTTATTATATATACAAGATTTAAATAAAAATTATATTGTTTAAAATGGGACCAATATGCTGGCAATTACACAGCTACTCCCAGTTTACTGATAAAAAAATCTACATTATTTAAAGTCTTTCAATATTTAAGTAGTCTTTAATACAGTTATTCTGATGTATTAGGGATGCTTTTAAGTTAAAAGAAAAAAGGAATCATGTATATAATGTACTTTATTTTTTTCTTGTTTGAAAAATTGTTCTCCATTCTGTCAGTATTATCATAAGCACAGTAACGTTTTCCAGATTACTGGCTGAAACTAATAGAAACATGTCAGCAGTCTCAGGACAGAAATAACGTTTTTTTTGGAGTGAGTGCCTTAACATGACCGCCTATCCCTAACGACTTTCCACTGGAGCCGGTGGCTGCAGAAGGGTGCACAGGGAGCTTCCCATCCCTCCAGTTCTCCACAGCCTCGTTTAAAACCATTCATAGTTAGGACATCCCAAAGTGCTTTGCGGTGACGTATATTCTAGAAAATAAAGGCTTGGGGTTTTTATTTGTGATGTCGTATGTTTTTTAGCAGACTTAATATCGTAGTATTAATATTCAAACCAACTTGAGAACTAAAATTAGACTTTTTTCTATTTCAATTTTACACTTCTAGGCAAAATGGCTTTTCACGAGTTTGAGGATGCAGACTGTTCCGGACCTTGTTTCTTAATTTTTTTTGTCTTCAAACACAGACTGAAATAATGTTGGGGAAGGATCCTGTTTTATTTAACCTCTTCCTTTTAACTGTTTCCTCTGACCTATGGCAATCTGTTGCAGGGAAACAGGACAACCCATCAGTCGCCAGCTGTCGGACACGGGTTTGTTAAGGAGTATCCAGTTTGTAGCGCAGCCAGATGAGCAGATCATTATTTCAATGCACTTTTGTTAATTTTGGAAGAGTTATTCTTGCCATTTGCTGTTTGAAGAAGAAATGTACTTAGTATTATAAAGACGTGTAGGAACACCCCAAAAATAAAAAGGAACACCTAGGCCAAGATCCTTGCGTTGTCTGCATGAGCGCTCGTCAGGGGAACTGCAGCAGCTCACCAGGTGAGGATCCTGGCCCCCACTCACGCACTCACTGCAGATGCTAAAGATGCAGAGAAGAGTACCCAAGGGCATTTACACCGTGCACTGTTTTACCTTGAAATGTATGTTATTTAATAATAAAAACTTTTATCAGTTTTCAAAGTTGGTTTATATTATAAGGAAAGAAGGTATGATCTTATTTTTCTGTGATACTCTTTAGTTCTGAAGCTGTACGTTCTGCTGAATAGTTTAAGTTCTGATATTTATATGAAACAATGAGGAGTCAGAAATTAAAACTCTAAGGGAAAAGTTGGGTTTTATATCAGCTCAAAGTGGCAGTATAGTGTTAAACTCTTCCTCTTTGGGCAGCGTTGACTTCAGATGTAGTTTCACTGCAGACTTCCCATTAAAGTAGAGAAGAACAACTGGTTTGATGCTGTAAAATTGAAGGGCTTGAATCCGGTGCTGGAAAAAAATATGTTAAAATGGAAAATAAGAGGGCAATGCACAAGCCAACCTGCAAGTAAAGAGAATAGATTATGTATGTCTGCAGAATTTCCATGGCTAAAACCAAACTAAGAATCAGCCCTGCCACAACCAAGTAAGTTGTGGATGTCATAGATATGGAGGATCTGATACACTGGAAGTATGGGAAATAAGGAAAACACAGTTGAGATGGAGAAAATGGAAACTAGCAGTATGATGAGGTGGTATGAGCAGCTGGCTAAAACGACAAAGGAACTTGGAGGTTTGGTGGCAGCCACAAGTGGAATTTCTTACCTATTAGTCTTGTAACTGAATTTGCGTAGCATTTTCACTAATCACGGAAGCACAGATAACTGTAAGGCCGGGCTTCACGTTGAGTTGGGACGCAGTGGTCTAGGGCAGTATCAGCGTTCACACAAAAAACAACAACTGGCAGACCTTCACCACTGAAGGGGATTAACTGGGATAAAATTTTACAGTACAAATATTAGCTCATACACTTGAAGATTAAATGAAGTATTTTGCTATATTTCTTGTAATTGATAACAAAAAGACCCTGGTTACAGAGTTTGTCATGAGATGTCTCAGATGCAATGTGACAGAATCATGAAAGCTCAGGCTGCCCTAGGAGACAAATTTCCAGCTGGGATAGAGACATTCAAGATAATAATGAGAAAGGTAAAGACAGTTCAATCTAAACATAGATACAGCCACAAGGAGAAAAAGGAGTACAAGCAATCAGGCCTAAATATTGGCTGAAAATCGTTCTGGACCCTAGAAACATTTTTTTCCAATCAGGCTCTGACAAACAAGAAATACCACTTACAAAAGGGCTTGTAAAGCCGAAGCAGCAGTGCCTGGAGGGGCAGGAGTAGGACAAGACGGCTCTTCCCAGTCTGGCCCCGTTTGGCTGCAGAAGCTGCGCTCAGCTGTGACAGGAGAGGCTGTGACCAGGCCCTGCTTTGTCCAGTCGTGTCCACGGCATCTGCCAAGGTGTCAACTGCTTCTCAAATTCCAGGCCTCAGCTAGCTGTTAGCATTAGACTTTTTTCACATTCCAGTATTCATTTGCAGACTGAATACTGGGATTTTTAGATGACAGAACACAGATTTAGACAAATACACATCTTGGTTCCATTTAGAATAATTAAAAAAGAAAAGAAAAGAAACATCTATTTGGACTCTGGCAAATGCTTTTTCCTCTGTCTTACTTTCTTATCAGCAAATGCTAATTTGGGAATATTCTGAGTAGTGATTATTTCATGGTTCTAAAGTGATATAAAGACATAAAACACTGAGGCCTAACAATCAGAATTTCAATGTAAGATTAATCAGAAACACTTGTACTTCTGTAACAGCACATAGACTATTTCATCTGTCATAACATTTGGCATTACACGTGTCCAATGCAGCTTCTAAGCACCTGGTCTTTGTTTCTTGGTAAAAGGGCAAAAAAAACCCAACTCCAACCTAACTCAACAAGCAGTTCATGAAACCAGCTTATTCACAAAAGCACTGCACACAGATTTACTGATAGCATTGATTAATCAAATTACCCAGTGCAATTTGTATCTAAAACTAATATTTGTGTAAGAAATATTTGTGGAAGAAAAGCCTTCAAACAGGAAAAGGTATTTTTGCCACTACTTATAATGACAGTCCTGCCTTTGAGTAACAAGAAACCATTGTCATGCCATTGGGTTCTGAGCCTTCTGTCCCTTCCTATGCAAAAATCCCCTCTGTTTCATGCTAGATAACACCGTGCAATAGTGAGTTTGATGGTACTGTCACAGTGTCACTACACTGCAGTGCTAAAGGAGACTTACTTCATTGAATATAAACTGGAAAAAATTCTAGCGTCCCCAAGACATGGCTTTCCAAGCGCTTAGTCTTGCCATGCCCAACTTCCTTTCCTCTACTGCGCAAGTCACTTTTTTCACTGTTGCAGTTTGGGGAGGGAACCAGGGAACTATTTTTATTTTTTTTTTAATTAATACTGGTATTGTGAAGATTCAAAGGACAAATTGTAAACTGCTTTGAAAACTGACAATGCTTTACACATATAATTTAGTTTTAATAACTTGAAAAACCAGGAAACTAGATGGAAGAAAGGATAAATATCAGAAAGACACATATAACAATCTCTGATTTTAAGTCCCATAAATGTATCAAAGGAGACCACTTGGTATAAGGAATATTTCTGATGTAGTTGCTGTGCCTCATTTCAAGATTCAGAAGTACTATGCATCAATACTATTAAGGAACTTTGAAGTACTTTTGAAAGCCCTTTGATTTTTGCCCTTTTTACAAAGGGCAGGAATGGCCACAGTCATCTGACCGCAGGTTAGGCCGAATCAAAAGGCTTTTAAAAGTGAATTTTTGGTCAGCTTAGGAGCGCAAGTAAGGTTGCTGTAGCATTACTGCATTTACAGCTCATTTTGCACCTGAGATCAGTTACCTCCTCTGGGCAGAGGGGTAATTATGAAACAACACAAGTTGTACAGTAAGGTTTTTTGCATGAAACAGAACTTTTCATGGTTTTAGGAAAATGTTCTAGAGAT